AACCCTCGCCCTCAGCCTGAGGGCAGGTCACCGCCCCGGGCCGCGGTCAGGGAGCCGGCCGCCGTCCCTCCCTCCCTCCCCTCCAGGAGAGCTGCGGAGGACACCTCCGGGAAAGGTAATACCTTGGGCTGAGGGTTCAGGGGAGGCTGAAATTCAGAACCCCTCGGTGCAGGAAGGATTTGTTGTGCTTTACAGTCGGGCTGTGCCCTCTCCTGGGTCCCCTGGCTGGCCCCACGCAGGCTGGGTGTCCGACCGAGCGCCTTAGGAGCGGGGTGCTGGGGATACTCGGGGCTGTCGGTTGGAAAAGCAGGTTCTTTCCTAATGTGAAGAGCTTGCATGGCTTGAAAGTCGGGTCGAAACATGTTTAGAAAACCTGTAGAAAGAACGGTTGGGCTTTTTTCTTTCTGCCGTATAATGTTTGGGTAAGCCGTCCAAAGAGCTCTTGAAGAGCTGTGGAGCTTCAGATGTGTCATTTAGTAAAACAAGGGAAGTCTTGGGTGTTGTTCATCGTCTAAAAGCTGTTCAAGTGGGGGTGGCTTGCTTCTAAAAATAGTGCATCAGGAGAACACGAATTTTGCCACCCAAATAACTCTTAAAAAGTGACAATGTGTTTGGATTTCTTCAGATAAAGCTAGCGAAAGCATTGAGATGTTCAGCCGAGTGCTGTTATTTTCTAGGTCTCTGAGGTTTTGTCATAAACATATTAAAAATGTGATAAATCCCTTGAGAGAGGGACTCGGTTTTGAGAAAAATGAGGATTGATTTTTTTTAAAAAATAATCCTGTTCAGAAGCAAAAATGCCACCCATTAAAAGATCACGGTGCCCTAAATGAAGAAAAAGCTTAATCTTGGAGCTCATCACACTGAAGGACTAGATCTTCTGAGACTGAAGCTTAAAATGCGTTTTTGATCTATGTTTTGAAACATACTTTGCACTTGAGTTTGCGGCTGCATCAGCAGCTGTGACAGCTTTCCAGCGCTGCCTTTGTTGTGTGCAGTGTTTGCTGCTCTCAGTCCCCAGATGGACTCTGAATTCTTTAATGTTGTGAGAGGGTGACCTTGATACTATCACCGAACTGGGATTTCTTAAAGACACTGGATAATGTGACAAGTATTTAAGCTGTTGAAGGCAGATCCATAAACATTATTTTCCAAGTGTTGGAAAGTTAAAGCCTAATTATCATGATGCTTGCTTTATCCCAGTGTCATTCCAGTCTTAGTTATTTAAAAGGCTTCTTATTTCTCATGAACGTAATTTTGCTGGATTTGTTTCGGTTTGGGATTTTTTTTTGGCTGTGTCTGTTAGAAACCTGATTTTATGGTAGTTTATTAATTCCTACTGAGTCCTGGTGTTGAGAGCCAAAAGAGGAATCTACAAATCAGAGGAAGCAGTTATTTCCTTGTGGCTTGAATCTGTGATATGTTGGGTTATAGTAATAAAACCTTTTTTGCAACTGACATTGTAGTGTGGGAAGTAGTGAACAGCCTTTAGCTTAACTGCGCTGCTGCTGACCACTTCTCAGAATCCCCTGCTGAGACCCCCGTGTCGTGGGAGAGATTTTAATGTCTTAATTTTAGCAGAAGTTTACAGTTCTGTTACCAGGGTAAGCTGCAGAAACAGTTATTTAACTTGAATTTTTCGGGATCACAGGACACTGAGGGCAAAGAGTTTGTAGAGCGCCACAGCTGTATAGGGTAGTGCACCAATGTTTGATACTTTACACGAATGAGGATATGAATATATTTGATAAACCTCATCAGTTATCAGAGTGTTTCATTTCAGTGACTGTGGTGCTGGTGTTTATCCTTGATAATAATTTGGGTAACTCTACCTTAGACTAACGATTCACTGTTATTTACATAACAGGCTTGTATTTGATTTCAGCTCTAATAACTAGTTATTTTTTTTGTTATAAACTTTTCTGCTTACATGAGCTGATGTGGTTTAAGCTGCTTTGGGTGGTTCTTGTGGCCTTGAACATTTAAAGGAAGCATCATTAGACTGTACACCTGGTTATTTTTTTTTGTTAACAAGAACTTTCAGAAGCTTTTTTTAATATAGTATCTACAATTTTACTACTTTTATCTGCAATCTAAAAGTATAAACTTTCTTCTGCACTGAGGGGTTCTAGGACAGGTCTGTGAATAGTCTGTGGTTAGGAGGGGAGTATTCAGCTATTATAGGTAACTAGTCCAAACCTTTGTGAAATTCAGAAGCCAGCTGAACTAGTAGCTAGCCTTTATTGACTACATTAGTAGAACTGTATTTGATACATTTCTTACCATAAAAGGATATTATTCCTTTTCTTAATTTTCAGATGTTGTTTTACTGCTAACAATTATTTAGCTTGCAGCCACACTGAGAAGCATGGGGAAGAATACTGAAATCCTGAATTTAGAACAGATGGGAAGGTGTACCTTTCCCTCCCACACACCCCCTTGATAGGCAGATCGTGAGGGTAGTTGGCACATAAAGGATAGAGATGCCTTGATAGTTTATCATGAGGAAGATTTCAGGGTTTTTTGGTGTGCTTTTTAGAAAAGCGAACTTAGGGATATTCTTGGGGGTAAAGCTTTGAGTGATTCCTTATGCTGGAAGACGCTGAAACACAAACCGGGCTGTAATGTAATACTAAAAGAAAACAGCGCGGAGGGAGGTGGTTTGAGACGCCTGCCAGGTCGCACAGGCTGTCATCTGCCTGCTGGGAGCTCGTAAACAGGGAGGAGGCTGCGGGTGGTGGGTTGTTGTTGATGGGCTGCGGCTCCTGCCTCGCTCCCTGCCCTGTGACTGCCTGTGCCCAGGGCTGTACCGGGGGGTGGCTTCAGGCGGCTGCACGTTGGGTGGGAGGAGGCTGTGCCATGTGGCCTCTGTTTGGCGCATCTGTCACGTAGTTCCTTAGGCCAAGAGACAGCCTTGCCGATGAAGGGCAAAAGGCAGGAAGATACATTTTGGGTTGGTTGGTTGGGTTTTTTTTCCTGTTTTCCATGACTCTTAGATTACATTAGTAGTTCTAGACAGTGTTGTTTAGCAAACTTCACTACTAATGGTAATAATAATGCAAATGTTGAATAGCTTCTTTTCGTTGGGCTGTTGGTCAGTACAATGTAAATGAAGTTGCAGCGCTTGTTTCCCATCAGTTTTATACTTTATCTGACCTCACATTTCTATTGATGAGACAGTATTTGCAGTGTGGGATAAGCTAGCTGGTGCCCTCAGGCTCCCTCACTAAAGCAAGAAAATACATGACTTGATGTCAATGTATTTTCACATCATTTTTGTGTGGGATGCAATACAAGGGTGATGTGTTTTTTCAGAACTAATGAAGGTTTTTGTGGCATTTTATCTGGACAGGAGGGGAAAACAGACAGATGCTTGTGAGTGCCCCATGGCTGCAGCTGCCTCAGTTCATTCATTTATTGCCTATTGTAACTTGGAAGCATTCTTTAGGTAAGAAAGCTGCGTCAGAATATGCTGTGCAGTTTATAAACTTAATACACTTCTGTGCTGAATCTTTAAATTGCATCTCAGTGTTTTGCACGCTCAATTATGATGTTATTTATGAATCTGTTTACATGTGTCATTATAAACCTGCCTTCTATGCGTTAGAAACTGGCAGCACTTCCGCAAATGAGCGTTACATGCAGTGCAGAGTTAGCAAAGGGACAGTCTGCTCACTTCACAGGAGAACGTGTGATGCTTCTACACTGTGTGTGCAATGCAAGACCACCATAAATTAGAAACTTCTTCAGATGCCCTCTACGAACAGAGTTATTAATATATATTAACTTCAGAATTATAGACAGGCATGACTATGCAGCTCATTTTTATGCTGTTGCTCAGCTCACACATGAGTACTTGCACAGATTTCAGTACTTGAGTTCGATTTTGCGTAGGAGATGGGGGCTGCTTCACTTGGTGTGTTCGTAATTAACACACAGACTACACCTGTCTTAAACTTTACAGCTGTAAAGCTGATATTAGCTGTGCAGTTTTTCAAAAGGTGATGATAGGACCTGGGAGAAGCTAAAACCTCTCCCATCTTTTAAAGTAAAATAAAAAAGTTCAGTGTTAGAAGGTTTCTAAAGGTGTTATTACTGGTTGAACACAATACTTCATAACTATTTTCAGTTTCTAAACTACTTTTTCATTTCAAATCTGTCATGATTTAGTAAGATTTGTGTTGCTGTTCCTAGAGCTTTCCATTAAACCATCTTCAAATAATGCAAGATGGGTAACTGAATTTGGAGGGCTTGGGCATACTTTTTTACAGCAGACCAAGATACTCTTGTACTAAGATACAGGGTAGGGGTTTTTTATTAGTATATGGGAGGATATTCATACACCATTGGTATGTTTTTCCAAATAGAGTTTAGTTAGCCAAAATCCTTTACTATTTTGTTTACTGTCAAGATTGTCATGATGTAGTAAGCATACTTTGGAGTAAAAGAAAGTAGTATTTAAAGCCAAGAGTCCTTAAATTTTGAAATATTAGAAGTCCTATCTTTAAGTACAACTATTTTGATTCCTCTGGTTTTGGTATACAGTAAGCTGAAAAAAATTAATGTTTCTTGTCCAGGTTTGTAATTGCTTTAGGTAATATTCAGGAATCCAGAGGTGTGTCTGTGTTGTATAAGAGTACTGATGTGACTAAAATTGTAGATGATGCAAAAACTAGATTTGTGCCAACACTTACACCTTCCCATTAGTTAAATTATGGTTTTCAGATAAAGTTTGGGAAAACGTAATTTGTCACATTTTGTTGTTGTACTTCCACATCTGCCCTGCAGTGCAATGTGTACTGTTCATCTTGCTCTTTGCTCCAAAACTTACTTTAGTCCCTCCTGTGGGTCTCCCAGATGTTGCAGGAAAGTTTTTCTTTGCTTGTTGGCTTCACAGGTCAGTTCATCTTCTGGGACCCGTCCCTGCCTTCCGGGTAAGGAATCCATGCACACGGACAGGATGACTCAACAGTGGGATGGATGTTCAGATACCAGAGAGGTGCTGGTGACTTGACAAGAACTTCCACATTCTTTGGAGGTATGTCTGCATGTAAACCTCATTGAAGACTGCCTGGATTGTATCACATGGAGCTATAACTTGGGTAACTTCAGTTGTGTTTTTAAACATACACTGTTCATAGTTTAAGTAATCCCATTTTCACAGTAAATACTAGGTCTTTGTGTTTGGTGAAAACTTTGTGATCTATAACCAATGGAACCTTTTTTGGCTTTGCATCCCACACTGAGTAATACAATGTCATTTTGCTGGATTTAAAGCATTGTGGTACAGAGTGCTAAAACCAGAAATTCTAGAGTTATCGGGTTTAAAGGCATGTAGTGACATGAATGAGTTATGGCCGTGTTCTGTCAGCAAGAGCGTGGATACTGGGTATGCCCTGCATACCTTGTCACGTCTCTTCGTACGTCTGGGCTGGATATGCTGCATCTGGTCCATAGCCTGGGCTGTGGTTTAGGGGAATGCCCTTTCTGGTAGTTCTCAGGTGCTTAAAATTCTTTGTGGGAGCCAAAACAGTACCCATGAAGCTCAAATAAGAAAGTGAAAATTTCCATTTTTATCAGAAACTTACCTTTTACTGAGATGTTGCAGATTTGCATGGGAATAGCGAAAGCATTGAGAGCTTTCTCGGATGACAGCATCTGTTTAACTTTTTTTTTTTTTTTTTTTGTCTGGACTTTAATTTTAGGAAATAGCTGAATTTGTAATTTCTCGGGGGGGGGGGAAATATGTAAAAAAAAAAAAGGCAGGTATTTGACTCAAAAGGCATTTAGCCTTTGCTAAATTTAGCAAGGCTGAGCAACTGAAGGAGAGAGTTGTGTAATGGTTAATTACTACATCCACACATAATGCTTTGGAATGCCCATTCATTGTGTGACTTAAAGCACTCAAAAGTCATAAAACATGGTTATGTGTTTAATAATTTGATAAAATGATCTAGTAGCAAAATGTTTATTCATGCTGGGCTCGCATCTTCCTTACATTAGTAACACTAATGTGGTGTTTAGAAATACTGCTTTGTTTTGGAGCATATTCTTCATTTTCTTTGACTTGCTGCCCTTGCTTGTTAGTGTAAGGCACATGTGTCTATTCAGGGAAGAAAAACTTCTGTTATTAAATATAATTTAAAGAGTGTGGCTAGTTTATCCTTCTGCATATATTGCCTATCACTGTTGTAAATGGAACTTTGAAGAGACTGAGTGGAGATGTCTGATGACTGCCAGAATAAATTGCTTGGTGATTGAGATAATTTGTCAGAAGGACAAACAGTAGCAAAGCTGGTCGTATGAACAGCTCTTGACTAATTGGCCAGGTTGTTCTTTCCCAGTTGTCCAAGAAGCCACATGCTTTTTTCTTTTTTTTTTTTTTTTTTTTTCATAAAAATGGAGTTACACTTGCATGTCAGACACATCAGCCAAACAGATCAAGTTTTATGAGCTGGGGAAAATGCCAGATACATTTTTTTTTTAATAGGATTTTAGCAGCTGTTGCTGGATTTTGGTGTTTCTCCCCCTAATGAAGATACTATGGAAAATTTTCAGTCCAGAAGCAGCATGCTGTGAGGGTTGCCGTGAAAGGCTGTTCAGTAAAAACAGACAATGTGTTCTGCTTGTTCTTGAAGAATGCCTGGTTGCTTTGAAAATTGAGCTTCAGACTGGTTGGGAAGAGATAAGGTCTGGCTGAACATCTAATATTAGGGCACTTGACAAGGGGCATCATCCCACTGTAAAATGAAGTGGCATTTGAAACAGTTAAGACAGTTGTTGAGAATTGACTGAATAACAGAATTCAGTCTAGAATAGGCTTGAGTAGATTGTGCTGCTTCAGCATGTGAAAGCAGAGCTTTGCCTTGTAGTGCTTGTTTCTGAACTCTGGCTCATGAGGCAAACATTCCTCAGTGAAGAAGGTTTGTGCAGTTTGCTGTATTCCAGGGTCACTGTCACTTTCTTCTGCTCAAAACCAGCATGCAAACCTTACTTTGCCCTGTTTCTGTAAGTGACCTCTAAAGGTTTTTATTGTTAGTTGTACAAACGTTTTTCCCTTGCCTATTTTAAAGGAAAACAAAAAGCCAGCAAAGCACAGCAGCAGGGGAGGCAGGCAAAGCTTTTGAATCTGACTCTTCTGAAGATGTCTGTTCAAAGTTCATCCATGTTTAAAAAGCGAGTTTATAAATTGGGTTCTGTAGATAATAAAACTCTTCTAGAAGTCATGAGTAGATTTTGTAGTTTGACTGCTGAGTTTAAAGTTAAACAGACACTATTTGCTATTGCTAAACGACATTGCTGTTTAATACCTTTTTTCCTCCCTACAAAGTACTTTATATACTGTGAAGTACTAACATGTGAAACTACAGTTGGTAAATTAATAAACCCAAGTTCTCCAGATTCAAATTGAGTTGTACAAAACAAAAGGTATTGAGAAAGAAGGTCCTTGCTAATGTCTGCACTGCATATTGACATAGGGGCATACCTTTTTTCATAGTAACATGCTATACTTAAATTTTAATAACTTGTTGTCTCTTACTGTGCTTCTCCTGCCTTCTCTTCCTTCCTCCCCTAATGGTCTGTATTTTTACAGAGACCTACTGTATGTGAGACCTTTCAGGAAGCTGTGCAGTTTGAATACATCAGACCGTTCCAGTACCTGAAACTCATGATGAAGAGAGCTAAGCAGAAAGCTGTGGTTGAAACTGAAGCTCCTCAAACATCACAGAAAAGCAAAAAACAGAAAACTTGTTTGTATGGCTCAGTGTTTGGTGAATCTGACTTACACGCCTCAGTGGACTGGGGACGCCTTCCGCACCATGTTATTCTGCGTGTTTTTCAGTTTCTGCCTTTAGTAGATCGAGCCAGGGCCTCTTCTGTTTGTCGAAGGTGGAATGAAATTTTTCACATCCCAGATCTCTGGAGGAGATTTGAATTTGAACTTAGCCAGCCAGCTACTTCTTACTTAAAGTCTACACATCCTGATCTCATTCAGCAGATTATCAAGAGGCATGCTGATCATCTGCAGTACGTCAGCTTCAAGGTAAGTCTTGGATGAATGGAGGCTTGTTTTGTCACGTTACTGTGCTTAATGCATGCAGCTTCTCCATGTCAGGGGGCTCAAGTGTTGTACCTGGGAAGTCTTACATTTAAAAATGCAAGTACTACAATGATTGATTTCCATGCACGCACACGGTTTCCTTCAGTTTTCTGCGCTGTAATCTCTACAAAGTGAAGAAAAAGCTAACATCGTGCAACATAGTGCTGAAGATTGATTGATAGGTTTTCAGAATATACAGAATACGTAGTTTCTGTGAATCGGCATTAGTGGCAATCTGAGTACTCAGCAGATTATTGTGCAGATAAATATTTCTTACGCATGGAAGCGTTTGAGGGAACAAGTTTGTGATGTGTGTAACTTGTTTGCAAAACAAGGCTATACAGTGAAGAATGTCTTTAATTTCAGAACCATGCTTTGAATAGGTGTGAGTGAGGGAGGTGCTGGGCCTGTACAGTCAGGTAATTGACATGTAACAGTAAACTCGATTTAAATGAAGGCTATGTTTGTACTCAGGACTGCATAAATGCCGTCATCTTTCATTTGAATACTTGATACTCTGTTTATCTGGGAAGATCATAGTTGGAATTACAGGTGCTTTGTTCATTTTTTTTTCAGAGGATACCACAGTTCTAATCTGTGAAGGAAAAGCAGAAAAAAGGATTGATACTAAAGATAGGATGAAAATCTGAAGCTTGTGTTTTTTCCCAGCACTGTTAGCAGTTTTACATTTGGAGATGAGATAGTGAGATTTGTTTGCACAGCAGTTCATGGATAATCAGTTATTAAATACCTGTAACTTCTCCACTTCATGTACCTGATCGTAATGAACTGGCTGGCATTATAACGTCTTAATGCAACTTTTATGCTTTTTCAGCTACTCTTTTATCAGCTACTGCAGAGGAGGAAGGTGAGATGAAATAGTGATTTGGCTAAAGTTAGTCATCAGGCTTAGAGATTAATTGAGAATCAGTTTGTTATTCAAGATGCAGAGGTGGTGTCCCTGCAGGTAAGATGGATTAGTTTGCTGGGGTATATCTAGGCTTTATCAAGCCTCTTTTTTGGCTCTAAGAGTCTAGAATTGGCATTTTAAAAAATGCGTACACACCACTGTCTGTCATCAGGCCAATACTAATTACAGTTCTTTAGGAAGGCATGAGGTTATTTGAAGGGAAGGCTTGATTTAATCTCTCTCTTCATGCTAGAAATACCCAGCACTCATACTCAGGAAAAGTTTCTAATAGTAACTTGCCTGAGCTCTTTTCTTGTCTTGAAGTTTCTAATTAACGTTGTGCCATGTCCTTATAGTAAAGGCGGTCTGGCGCAGTACAGAGGAGTGCGAGTGGAACTTGAGGTCTTAGGTATCCATGATACTGTTTTCTAAATAATAATAAAGAATGACTTCAATATTTTTAAATTGCTTTTATAGGTTGATAGCAGCACTGAGTCAGCAGAAGCAGCCTGTGACATCCTTTCTCAGTTGGTAAACTGTTCTATTAAGACACTGGGTTTGATTTCTACAGCAAAACCAAGCTTCATGAATGTCTCTAAGGTAATGTTCTACAAATGTAACTGGACTGACTTAAATCACTCTTAAACCGCTTGAGCTTTTGTATTGTGGTGTTACAGTTGATGGTGATTTTTATGAAACAATCTTTATTTATTGGTGTATCTTTAATTTGTGGCGTCCATTAGTATTAGGAAAATAATTGAACGTTGATTCCATTCACTAAATTTAGTAGTGCTGATGCTTGTGGCATGGAGAAGGGCAGTAATTTAGAAGGCTTGAGTTTCCTCATTTCTACGTTAAAAGATACAGTGACCACGTGCTGCAACATATTGTTAAAATATTTGGGAGATTATTTCTTTGACTCTAGGTTGTAGCAGAGTTACTTTCTGGAAAACAAAATAAATACCACTTTTCTGTAGATAAATTCTAGATATTTTAGGCTCATCAGTGTGTCCACTGATCCCTGTTTTGGTGCAGTGAAAAGATAAATCAGAGTGGATGACTTAACTATGGAGTGTAAAGTTGACTTTTGTCACATGCAGCAGCACATTTTTGAACATAGGTTTCCTATGTTCATGTGCAAATAAACCTTTCTTATTACACAAGGAGGGGGATGCCTAAGAAGTGATTATTTTTGTACTTTCTGTGCATGCAAAACCTGAGGTTTAGATGCTGAAATTCTGCCTGTCTTTTTATAAGAAAATTTTTTCCCCCTCCTTCCAATTTCTCTAAACAGGCTCATTTTGCTTCAGCACTGACAGTAGTTTTTGTGAACTCCAAGTCATTATCATCAATCAAGATAGATGACACGCCGCTTGATGATCCTTCCTTGAAGGTTCTTGTTGCTAACAACAGTGATACTCTAAAACTGCTAAAAATGAGCAGCTGTCCTCATGTATCACCTGCTGGTGAGTAGTGAATATTTAGGAACATGCGGTAGTAAAATATCATAAAAACAACAGTCAAGATTTAGTTTGAAACAAATTATTCATGTAACTTCTAGGGCTCTTCTTAGTCTCTTAGCAGAGGCCTTTTATTGACCTAGTCTTGGCTCTGGGTGGTTGGAAGGGGGAGAAGCATAATGCCTTTGTGTTACTGAATGGGTTGGATTAACAAAGGTGGAGGTGCTCCTTGCTTGACTGCGTCTTCTGGAATCCTGGGGATTTTTTTTACGTTCTTAGCTGCTTCAGAACCTCTGATGATAGGCCTTGAGGAGGAAAGGCCTCCAAAATTAGTGTGCAAGCCTTTAGCACATGTTCCAGGGACTGGATGTTCGCTGCCAGCTCTGCGCGAGGGTAACCGAACGTGTGCTGCTTCATGTGTGCAGCTTGTCAGCGTGACTAACTGGTATTCTGTGGGAACACACAGGCGAAATCCGTCATCTGTGAGTCAGCTACTGGTTGGTGGGATACAAGAGATGAAAGCAGTTGTCAGTAATTGTTTTGCCAAGATGCTGTGAGTTTTACCTACTGAGCAAAAGTGTTAATGCTTCGAAGTTTTATTAAAAAACTGTGGAGCGTATACAAATTTAAAAACCTAGACTGAGAGTCTTCCAGTTCCTGTAGTGCCCTCGTGTGTGCAGCTCTGGTAGTATGGACTTGCTCGTTTTAGCATAGGTTGATGCAGGGCGCGCTCCCTTTGAAATACAGGCTTGCCAGAACGTTCGGAGGGCTTTTGCGTCCAATCTCACTTACTTTTCTCCTGAACGTTGGTGCTAGGGAAAGGGAATCCTGGTCTGGTCTCTTTTTTTTTGTTTGTTTTTTTTTTTTTTTTTTCCAGAGTCCACAAGAGGTGATTTAATCTGTGTACTTTGTATTCCAACAGATGAAGAGCAGTTGTGTTGTTTGTGTCTTAATTCAGGGAAGGGTCTGTTTTCGTATAGCTCTTAAACTAGGTTGCTGGTCGTCACTTAAATAGGATGTTTAGATAAATGCTGAAGAAAGGAGTATTAGGGAACAGTGGCAGCTTCAGCTGAATCTTACCTCATTTCAGTTGCTTCTTCAAAATTGAGGAAATTCTGCCCAGAGAAGGGCGAAGAGGAAGAAAGATAGGCAGATCAAAGAAAAATGCAACAAGTTAGACTTGCTGCTCCTACTGATAAGTGTTTTATCGCCAAAACCCCATAAAAAGATGGGAGTATCTAGGACTTTATATTTCGTGGGTTTTGGATATAGGTGTGACTACTCAAGGTGATAGAACTGGTACTTGCTTGAGCTTTACAGCAAGCAGCTGGGCTTATATTCACTTTTCATTTTACAGAGTAATTTGTTTTTTTTTCTCAGGAATTCTTTGTGTTGCTGACCAGTGTCATGGACTTAAGGAGCTGGCTTTGAACTACTACATACTAAGCGACGAACTGCTGCTGGCTCTTTCAAGTGAAAAACACGTTGATCTTGAACACCTTCGCATAGACGTTGTGAGTGAAAATCCTGGACAAGTGGAATTTCACACGATTAAGAAGCAAAGCTGGGATGCTCTTGTTAAACACTCCCCCAAAGTCAACATTGTGATGTATTTCTTCTTATATGAAGAAGAATTTGATGCTTTCTTCAGAGAGGAAACCCCCGTTACGCACCTTTACTTTGGTCGTGCAGTGAGCAAAGCAATGTTGGGTCGTATTGGCATGAACTGCCCAAGGTTAATAGAGTTGGTCGTGTGCGCTAATGGCCTCCAGCCTTTGGACGACGAGCTCATTCGGATCGCAGAGCGCTGTAAGAACTTAACAGCAATGGGACTTGGTGAATGTGAAGTAACTTGCAGAGGTTTTGTTGAGTTTGTAAAGATGTGTGGGGGCAGGCTTACCCAGCTTTCTATAATGGAGGAGGTGCTGATTCCAGATAATGACTACAGCTTAGATCGGCTTCATTTGGAAGTCTCCAAGCACCTGGGAAGAATGTGGTTTCCTGATATGATGCCAACATGGTAACTTCTCTACATTTGGGAGTAAACTGGTAGAATCAGGGTGTTGCTTTCTATGCAAATAAAGAATTTAAACAAAATGTAAAAACTTATTTCCAAGATTTGAGTTTTTCTACCTTGAGAACCTCTAGTAGTGTAACAGCAAAACATTCTAGGATGTTAATGGTATATTGAAGTAGAAATTAGATAAAATGTACTTAACACTTCTGAAAGTATGTCTGTAGTTTACAGATGCTGCAAACTTCAGTGAACTTGGGCTTCTCTGAGCTTCAGTTTAAATATTCTATTCACATTAAAGATTTTTTTTTTGTCCATGTCTTTGTTTAGTCTTTCTGATGTGGCCAGAAGGGGTCTAGAGAAACTTTTTTCCTTGAGCATATCTCTGTGGGAAGCTGGATACACCTTGGAGTTCAGTATTATTTGTCATGAAGTTTTATGCAGCTATTTTCAAAATACTCATGATATAAATGTAAAAGCTTGTACATTAAGCCCAGGTTACTCAAATATAATTTAGCTTAAACTCATGCTATTATGTTAAAATGTTGTGGTAAATGAGCTTATGCTTACAAAAAACCTTTCCAGTTTTTAATTGCACTTTAAATATTTTTGTCAGATAGCTAAACAGTAGACACTGCGTTGTGCAGTATGTTGGTTTTCTGTCTTGTGTGTGAAACGGATGGGAAAGAGACCTTGTTAAAATTGGTGATTTTCAAAGTTTGGATCTAGATTGATCGCTTGGGTGAATGACAGAGAACTTTGAAAACTGCTGGAGTATAAGGCATAGCTTCTGGATTTGGGAGAGTTCAGGTTGATGTCTGAATGCTGGTCCATGCTTTCACTATGGAGAGATAAGAAGGATCTCATAAATATGGCTAGTGAGAAGGAAGGATCAGGTGGACTACAGTTGTCTTTGATCGCTTTCTATCTGGAATCTTGAATTTGGAACACTTTAGTTGTTTGCCAGTTACGAGGCTGAAATGGCCTGTAGTAATCTTGCCTGTGTCTCAGCTGTGCTGTAAGCCACGATTTCTAGAGTAAGGGTTGCTGGAGGTGCTCCCGAAATTCTTAATTTGCAACTATTCAACACTTGTTGCTATTGATTGTTTTTTGAGGAAGAAGATTTTATTTTATTTCTTTATTTTCTTTAAAGGGGAAAGGAATGGTGAGTTGGTGTGAATTAGAGTATACATTTTTATGTGGATGTTTTGCACACTGTAAACTGAAATGCATTGTATACAGATTTTGCTGTAATTATTTTCATGCTGCAGTTGTTCTGTTTTCCTATTTATAGACTTTTTATAACAAGTCTACATTTGATTTGCTGGTGGGATTTGTCACATCAGATGAAATGTTAGTTTCTTCCACACACTACTTTACTGCAGAAATAACAGCTAAAGTGTTAAACCACCATTGTCTTGGACAGACTTGTTCCCAGTTGCAAGCTAAAGCATTTAAGGTAACATATACTATATAATGCCTGTCTGAATCAGTAATGCATTATTGCCAGTTGCATAGTTCAGAAGCATCTGGCTGGTTACTAGCACTTGTTACCCAAGAACTTGCTTCCATAATCAAGGGGATCACATTATCTTTTAAACAAAAGGCTGAAATATTTCTAAACAGTATTGGCTTTAAGATGTGTGGTTTGCTTTAAATGTAAACAAAATAAAATCATCTAATATGTGCACTGATACTAGACTCTTATCCATCTGTTGCACCACATCCTCACGTTAGAAACCATCACATGACAGTCTGGGGAGAGGCAGTAGAAATGTTTAACCCTTGGATTATGGGAAATAGTCATTGTCACTTCATGTTCTTGCCTTAAACTTGAGGATTCTTGACATGCTGAAACTAAAATGTAGTGTGAACAGGTCTTGTAGGTTGTCTATAAGTCCTGGAGCCCTTCATGTCTTTAGCCAACGTAACAGCATTAATGAAGTAGCAGACACTAGTGGCTACATGCAGAAATGTAGTTCAGGGGGAAACTGTTAAAATGATTCTTTGAATATTGTCCCTCTTACTAAAGCAGCTTTTCCATGTAGCCGTGAATGTTAGCTTGCTTCAGCTCCCAGCTTCTAGAAAGATAGGCCTGCATTTATTAGTGTTGTGGTTTTTGATGCAATGATTTTTGTGTGTGTGTTCACTCTAACTGATCTTAACAAGTAAGACTAATTGATACTTGAGTTTATAACTAAATGCCAACAAAATTGATGTGTTGGTCTCAACTGACGTACTGATTCTTCACTGGTAGTGTGGGAAGCTAATTTTAATTGAAAGGTAACATCTGACATTAGGTTAATGTTGAATTTTATAGTTTTAGTGTTAAGATTTGTTTAGTGTTGTGTTGGTGCCAATACATGCATCGTGCTTTGGGGATGAGTGTCAAAACACTGCCCTGTGCCAAGTAGGATAGTTCTTTTCCTTCTTAAGTAGGTCTTCCTGAACGGCTGCAGTGGAGATACTGCATTTGGGAAGAACCTGTAGATGGCTGCCTGGGCTTCCTCCTATTCCTTGAGCGGCTTCCTCCTATTCCTTGAGCGGCTTCCTCCTATTCCTTGAGCGGCTTCTCCTTCAGAGCTCTGCCCTGTCCTCCCTAAGGCAAGTTTTGCCTATAAAGTAAGACTTTTCCTAGTTTTACTGTCCTGCAAAGGCTTCCAAAAAACCCGTCTCCGAGGCGTATGAGGCAATGATACGGTTTGTTAGAATAACTAAAACCCTGAAAATGGAGTACAGAATTTACACCTGATGTGCTGAGGAGATTTGTAGGGTCACCAAAAAGTCCACGTTGCAGTAAGAAGCAAACCGTAATGCACCTTTTCTGCCACATGAGGGGGTGAGCTAGTTCTCATGCTTGTTGATTTTTCAGACTATCTGAGAAAGCTAGTGGTTACTCATTGCTAGCTTCCAGATTCGCTTGTAAATGCAAATTCCAACAAAAACTCGATTTTTTTTTTTTTTTATGTGGAGTCCCTTTTACCATTCAATAGAGAAACTGATTGTTCTGGCATGACAACTCCAGACAACATCTTTTATGCCTTGTGGAGTCTTTCAATAAATTTCACTCTAGTTTTCCTCAGTTCAGGTGCCTTCAAAATCTAAAGTAATCTTGTTCAAGGCATGGTAAAGTTCTTCAATTAGCCTAAGACACAATGTTCACAACAGTTACAGGTACTTAAAAACCAGTACCTAACTGGAACATACATTAATGTTAGCACCTTGCAGTATTATGTAAGGCTCAAAGTACTGAATCAATAATAATATAAATTGTTGTTGTGCATGAGAAGAAAAAACAACTTCTGGATGCTGAGTTGAATTTATTTGGAATGCATGTGAAATTTCCATTTCACTCTCTTTGCCCTTTCCCCCTTTCGAGATTGCTAGTAGGATCCGAGTGATTGCAGTTCTCGACGTGAATGTGAGATGTGATCCCAGGAAATACTCTTTGCATTGGCAACATTTTTCCAAGGATTTGTCCCTTAGAAATTCTACCGTGGTATCTGATGGGATGGATGCAGACTAGTTTTACACAGAAGCCTGGTGGAAACAAGAGGAGGGAAAACATCAGATGACTGAAGCATTTGTTCTTCTGTACTAATTCTGTTTCAGAAGTAACACTTTCTGTCTTGTCCTTTCCACTGAGATAGCAAAAGTAGAAATACCAAAATAGCAAAGACACTGTTGTCATAAAAATAGAGGCAGTGGTTGGAGTTGTTGACTTGGTGGAGGGGCAAAGATGGGAGACAGGGAGAAGGTGGGAATTCCTGGTTTAGGGAAGAGCTTGAAGACATTCTCCAGAACTTGTTCTGCATGTAAATGGATAGAAGTTGCAGTGTATCAAAACATGTGCCTTGCTTAACTGCTTGGCTAGCTGCAAGGTGACACATCCTATAGGACCTCAAACCAAAGAAATACTAAAAGGAAAATTGCTGTTTACCTGCTCCCCTGATTTGGACTCCATCATCAATGGCATTTCCATTGTGGAAGATTTTAATGGGTCCAGAGAGCTCGCCAGAAAAGGGAGCGTACACGGTTGCTCCGTCAGCACAGATGACATCGACACCGACGTGCTTTCCTTTACCGTTGCGCCTGAAAAATGCGTAATTAGAGAAGTGTCTTGTGAGGACCGATGTTACATAGAGATGGATCTGAGTTAGCATGGTGCCAGATCTGGAAATGGGTTGTTTGTACTGAGACAGCGTTGACGTAGTTGTCTGGCTGAAGAATCTGTTGGTGTGGATGATGTAATGTCATCTAGGGTTGATGATCTGTTAGAGCTGCAGTTTTGCAAATCTGAGAGGGGAAAAAAAAGCCTTTCTTCCAAGCCTTTAAACAGAACTGTAGAGTCACAGAAGTGTTGGTTGGCAGGTACTGTGGAGGACATCAAGTCCAACCTTCCAGTTGAGTCAGGGCTGTTCCCAACACCAGGTTGGGTCAGGCACGGCTTAGTCTGAGTCATAAAACCCCCCAAGCACAGAGGTTTTATGAACACTGTGGGCAGCCTGTTCTGGTGCTGCGTCACCCCTGCAGTGAAAATGTTCCCTCATGTCCAACCAAAACCTTCGAAGCTGTAATTCTTAAGTGGATTAAACAGAATTCAACTCTTATTTCAGTAGAGGAGCAATAAAACCCGACATTTCGATGATACAGTACCTTGGAGCGCCATAGTATCCGCAGCCGTACCTATCGCAGCCTCTTATCTCGTTTGTAGGATTCCCAGAGCACAGCGCTGCCCAGCGTCCGTCTTCTTGTGGGAACGGTGGAACAACTTTGAAATACAGAAACACAGCACGTCAAAGTTAACTTCTAGGTTCTGTTTAAGGCGTTGCATGTTTGTAACTACTGTGTTTTATTTTAGTGAGGTAGGAACATACTGGAATTACATCCCATGTGTTTTGTTGGATGTCTGCTCCACAAAATTTGTCATCCTTTAGGAAATGGAAATAGAATGTCCACCTAAGACTGGATTGTAATGCTTCTAGATTAGGGTTATCATATGAGGAACATGCTTTAAAGACAAAAATTCAGAGTCTCACCGTTCCTGGAGTGTAATCTGAGGGATGGGAAAAGACTCTGTTATGCCCAGGCTGATGGGACTGGACTCCTCAAGTCCTCTCCTCCGTTACTACTGATGTAGTATTTCTATTTACAAAGAATCTCCCCAAAGTCTGTGAGGATGCATTACTGAAAGCATTGCTAGCAGCTGACAGGGTACAAGCAGAAGAGATGCCCGACTTTTTTTTTGCCGTGACTTGGTGCTGCCATGTCATGGTGGCGGGCAAGAAATACAACTTGGTGAGCTGATGTGTTCTCCTTCCTGTACCACTGTCTGCAGCCCTGTAACGCTCTGTTATAGTGTGGATTTTCTTTCTTTTGGATGGTGCTGTCGGGGAGAACCAAAGACAGAGGGGACTACTGCTGTTTGATCTTGTTTTCCTTATTTGAAATTAGTAACTTCATTTTCACTGACGGTATTACTGACTCTGTTTTGGGGGGTTTTATTTGGTTGGGTTGTTTTTTTACCAGGTGTAAGCACATGAGTAGGATCGGAGTGGTCGCAGTTCTCAACGTGGATATGAGAGATAATGCCAGGAAACACTTTTTGCATTGGCAGCATTCTCCCGAGTTGTTGCCCTCTCTGGATTTGGCCATGGTAGCGGATGGGGTGAATACAGACGAGCTTTACACAGTAACCTGGAAGAGACGGGAGAGGAAGCGAGGTCAGGAAACATCAGCTGCATCTGCTCTTGGGGTGAGCAAGAAATGTGGTCAAGGTGCCAACAATCCTGAAATCAAAATTACTTGATTTGCTATGGAAAAGAGGAAAAGAGGGAGTTGGACAATAGGGACAGGAAAACATCCTCTCAGCAAAACTGAGAGCATAGTTCTGATAGTTTATTTTTACTATTTCCTTTTTTTGATTTTTGGGCTGGGTGTTTTCCTGCTACCTGGTTTTCAACTCCTTTCTTCCCTCCTTTCCAAGAAAAGCATAGGAAAAGGACTGCATCCTGCTGCTGCTGACTTCTGATAGTTCAGAACAGTAGTGTAGTTGTGCTCCAACATAGGAGCTAGGGAGGGTGTAAGATAAATCAACACTTGGCTTGAATTGAAGAGCCACAGAAACCTTCCTCAAGTCAATAAAACGCTTACTTGTGCATGTTTCACAACATATCTGCTGTTTTTACTTGCCTGATCCCTGGATTTGGACTCCATCATCAATGGCGTTTCCATTATGGAAGAATCGGATGGGTCCGGAGAGCTGGCCGCTGAAGGGAGCGTACACTGTCGCTCCGTCGGCGCAGATGACGTCCACGCCCCCATGCTTTCCTTTACCGCCCTTCCTGAACACATAAATATGGAATTAGAGAACTCTGTCAGGCTTAACAGTTAACACAGTGCTGTACCTGAAGGTTGTCGAGTCCTACAATGAAATTGGAAAGAAAGTGGATTCGATCCATCTTTTTTTTTTTTTTGTTGCAAAAGGTTTGTATTACTCTGGCCGCATTTAAAGAGGGATGAGAGTTCAAATTTTAAGCGTATTGTTAATTTCTCCAAGTTCATAGATTATTTCAGGCTGTTAAAGAAAAGCACCCCTCTTCTACCCTAAGTACATAAGTGTGGTGTAAAATAGAATCTTAAGTTTTGCATTTTCTCTTTTGGAAATTCCTAAGCTGCACGATGAGGACAGACACTTCTTATAGCACCTGGGAAGAAGAGGAGACGACAGGAAAATGCAGGGAAGGTAGGAATCATTCTATGTATGAAAGCATTTTTAAGGGAAATGTAACCTGTTCTGTTACGAGGTGCCTACTTAAAGACAACGATGCTGGCAGACCTTTGTCTTGTGTAAGTTAAACTACTTAGCTTCCTGTAGGCGGTTGCTGAATGTTGGTTAAATATCTGGTCTGTAAGCGACGAGAATAAATGACACAAATCCTTTAAACACTTTCCGCTTCCTTTACTCTGCTAATTTGTGTAATGGCCTCGCTTCTTCCCCTGTGCATCAGTTAGTAGCAGCGGTATCACTGCGCTTCTGCGAGATTGCCAGGTAACGTCCCAAAAATGAGTAAGAGGTCCCGCAGCCAACAGCCTTCTCCTGCTCTAAGTGTTAAACTCTGCCCTTTCTCCCCTGTGACCGTTTCATTTGGGAAAGCAGCAGCGAACCGCGCTGCTCCAGCCTCGGTGCCCCGCGGTGTTACCTGTCAGCGCCGAAATGGCCACAGCCGTATCTATCGCAGCCCCGGATCTTGTTGGCGGGATTCCCGCTGCAGATCTGGGCCCAGTGTCTGTGCTGCTGTTGGGGCGGGTGCGCGTCCAACTGCTGGGCAGAAACTTCATGTGCAAAGGAGGAAAATGGGGAAAATTCAACGATGTTCTTAGACAGAACAACGGAAAGTGTTAAGGTGCAAAAAAAAGGGTATTTAAAGAGGAAGGTGAGCTCATGGGAGTCTACAATTTCAGAAACTAGGTAAAAAAACATTGCAGAACCTCCTATCTAGATTTGATCGCTTTATCTTGAGGTCTTATTTCAAAATATATTAAAACATACTTAAAAAATACACTAAAAGCAAAGCTATAGATAAATATTTTTAGTATTAGTTTGTGAAGTAAGTCAAAGTACTTTCATGAAACTTCTAAACCCTTCAATATGTGACTGTAATGCACACCTAATTCCGTATTTTGTAATAGTTATATTACCATAATTCTTCATAAAACTTGATTGATAAAACTTCGCATTGATAATTCGTTAGTGTCTGCCTAAACCCAGCCAAGACCGACTGCAATCGCCAATCTCAACTCACCAGCAACCACCAAGCTGACCAGAGCGACCAGACTGAGCGCTGACATCTTGTGGCTCTTCTTTGATCAGATCAATAATGTTGAGCAGTAGCTGCCTGGGCTTTTTATGTGGTTTTTGGAAGCCCAAGTCTGTTGTCTTGGCCAATCAGTCTTGAGCAAAGTCCTACAGCTCCGGGCAGAGGGTGTTGCCATATTAGGCACTGAGGATGTCTGCAGCCTCCAACAGTTGTTAGAGCTGGTTGGGAAAGACGGATCAAATAATTGGTCTCTTAGCACACAGTAACGGATGGAAACGAACGATCCCACATTTCAGGAAGCTCTGGTTGAACTGTTTCTTAACACCTTTTCTTCCCCCCTCCTGAAGCAAGGGTGTGCTGAGGCCAAAAATGGTAGGAACAAGAATATAGTCCAGAGGATTGAGCTGGAGGGAAAAGATGGGCAAATCTTCACGGTGGATGTAACCACTTGTCCTTCGCTGCTCCTTCCAGTACCTCCTCCCCAGGGCCCATTAGAGCTTTCTAACAGAGTGACAGAGAACACATGAAGGTGTAGTGTTTGCTGTAGCATGAGTATTCACTTGGGCTAAGAAACACAGAAGCTTTCTCATGGACTCATGTCTCTCTTCCCCTTCAGCTGAAATGATCACCTAGCCTGGACTTAAACCCATGAAGTGCTTTCCCTGAAGCCCTAGTTTTTGACAGCTAAATTCTTATTAAAACATTTTCAAGTTCTGAAACAGAGTTGCAAACCCAAGTTGTATGCTATAACTGACATGGAGTTAAAAGATTTTAGGCTTCAAAATGATTTGCTTGATTTCAGCTATTGCACTATTAAATGGGCTCCTTAGTGTCTCTTAATCCTTCAGCTTGATTTTTCTGCACTACTTACAGAAAAGCATTGGATTTTCTTTATGGACATGTCTTAGTTAATATGAAATTTAAATGGGTCACGGTTCTTTCACATAAACTATCCGATATTCCAAGTTACAGAAACCTCTGGAAGTCCTTCAGGCTTTATTCGGAGGAGAAACAGATGTCTCTCTGCCCTGCTTCTAGTCTGTAGAGAGCATCTGTACATTGTGTTTTCTGAAAATCTCCATGGAATAAGCAGCTGGAGACAAATTTTTCACTTATGGTTCCAAGCATTTTTTCGCAGCCGATATTTAACCCCCAAACAATCTTTTAGCCCTCCCTGGGGTTGTTACAAGTGACTTTGCTGCTTTCTCCCCCACCTTGCCAGAAAGAACTGCTGGTTTTCACCCTTGTAGCCACCAAGCAAATATTTACGTAAACGTTATGTCCCCACAGTCAAGTTTTGAGGGGGCTTTTGGTTGTGATTTGCTTGAAATAATGGAGTCTAGGCTTACGAATGACACAAGGTGCTGGTAAGAGCTCCCAGTGGGTATTTGGGATTTGGGGATGCTGCTTACCTCTGAGCTGAAAATGGGGTATGTGGGTTTGTGTGACCCTTGCCAGAAACAGCATTCGTCGCTACAAGCTGGGAGAGCTCGTGCAACGTTCCTTCCAGCTTTCCAGGCTTATTCGTCTTCATTTGGTAAAAGCTTCTGGCAAACCCCCTCAGCTCTCCTTAGCAGAGAGAGTCAGCAAGGGAGGTGGTATGGGTGGCATCTTTCAGTGAAGATTGCACAGAGGCAGTAAAGTGTTTCTGAGCTTGGCTAACCTGATATTAGCTGCTGTTCCTCCTGGAAACAAAGCCATTTGAAAAGAAAGACTTTATTTGGATGGTGCCTGGCCATTCCCAGGTGAGGAGTCTCCAGTGGGGTTTCTGCAATAAAGACTTCTCTCAACCAGATTTTATTTCTGATTTATTCCTGACTGCTAGTTTGCACTAGTAGAGTTTTAAATATCTCATTATATAAATCTTAGCTGGGGCAGACCTGCCTTCAAAAAGCTAATGATTTGTATGGACTTTGTGAACTCACATGCTCCTAATTTTACCAAGAAAGGAATAGCAGCACCTCAATCTACTCTACATAGTCTTGCGAAGGAAAGGCTGGGTGTAAAGCCAGCCAAGCTGGTAGGCAGGAGAAGTACATCTGTGTTACAGGTGCACAGACACTGAAGAAGCTTTTCTCTGAGTCCTGTTTTGCAGTCTGGTACTTTGTAAAATGGCTCTAAGCTACCTGTTCTTTATGATTTTTTTCCATCTCATTTGCGCTACAGAGCTGACTCCAAATTGCTCCTAGCTGGGTACATTTTTTAATATTTTCTCCATAAGAGATCTTAACAACATTGGATCATGCTCTGTTCTTTCTAAAACATGTCATTTGCTAAAATAATATATCTAATGCACTTCTGGCAAAGTATTCTTAATAAAGCGGTATTCAAGTGTATGATATTGCAGTGGAGGTTTCCCTGCATGTTCCCCATCTTTCCTGGGTGAGCTGGAAGCTGCAGACCTCTCACCTTGGGCACGAGGAAGCTCTGAACCAAAGTTGGTGGGATTCCTGTGTTGCGCAACGGAGATGTGAATGTAACAGTTGGCAGGTACAGTTGTGAAAGACATGAACTGGCCACTTGGCACACACCAACAGAAGGATATGGAACAACCGGCCCCCGGGAGCTGCGCTTGCACCATTTCCTTCCCTGTGGCAGCGAGTGGGCAAGGAGCCGGAGCCGGCGTGCAGCGCTGCGAGGAGCACACGGAGAGCAGGGGGGCTGGCTTGGAAAGCGCTGGCTGCTTTCTCTTGCATGAATGGTGTGAGTTCCCTGTTTTGCCTCTTTTGTGTCCATAGGAACTTCCCCTGGCTGTTTAAGTCCCTTCGAGGTCTTGTTATGGACTGAGCAAGAGCAGAGCTGGCAAATGCGAGTGTTTGGGCTGGTATCAACAGGCAGGGAATGAGTTAAGCTTGATGCTGTCTGGAAGAAATCTCTCCTTTGCTATTCAGCCTTTCCAAAGATACGGTGATAAGTTACGTAGTGTTTCAGGAGGGTCTGCTGCCAGTTACCGGGGGTTTTGGGTAGAAGGTACCTGCTATGCATGTGTCCATAAACCTTGCAAATGTTAGGCTAGTCCTTCTTACCATTTTAATTATCTTAACGTTATCTCTTAATGAGAAAAGTCAGATGGTAAAATGATGAAATAAGGGATTTGGAGGAAAAAAGCCAGAAAACTGAGACACACCTGGGCAATGGTAGGTGGACCCTTGTGGTGGAAACATCAGCAAAAACCAAGGGCAAACTCTGAGCCAGAGCCCATCCAGCCCCCCAGCCCAAGCCTGTGGTTTCCTTCCAGCTGTGCTGCCGTCCTCCTTTGGTTGCCTACAAGTGAGGGCTGGTTTCTCCATCATTTCCTTTATGCATATTTCAGCTCCATAGGATTCAACCAACGTCCAAAAATCGACAATTCGGTCCATAAAGTCCTTCTGCTTTGCAACTGCTGTGGGGCTGCAGCCCCCGTGAGTTGGATAAACGAGAGCTGCGCATCGTATGTCTTAGTAATGTTACAGTATCATAACTGTGGGTTTGCCAGGCTTGTTAGGAGGCAATAAAAAAGGTAAATCCTCTTTCTAGCTGTATTTTACAGAACAATTGGCTTTGTCCTTCTTGGCTAGCCGTGTGTGTTCAGCATGGGAGCAAGTCAATGCTGAGCACTCGCCTCCCAGCTGATCTGTGTGCAGTATGTTACTAAAGAACCTTAAAAGCTGTTTCTCTGGAAAATGAATAATATTCTTTGTGCTTATCATGAAAAACCAAATTATGATTTAAAAATTAACTGTAGAAGAATTTACTTGTGCAATTAGTGGCACAGGCTTTCACAGTGAAAATCAAGCCGGCACAATGTAAAACAAATTACGCTCGCTATTTATTCTGATCGCTTGACGAGACTCAGATAAGAGGAATTACGCTGCAACAATTAATTAAGCTTGGTGTACACGGCTTATACTGTAGTAACGCTGGAGAATCAGTAGGTTGCGCTAGGTGATCAGCCCAAAGGCATGGCTGGGCATGTCACTGAGCAGAGGGGAGGCTGTAGGAGATCCGAGGGTGTTGCCTTTCTGCTTTGCGAAGCAGAAGCTGAAGCTGAGCTGGTGCGCAGTTCTGATTGAAGGCTCCATCTCGGATTTGTTTTGCCTTTATTAACGTACTTGCTAAGCTTGAGTTAGGCAGGTTTTAACAGGGAGGATTGAGGAACATAAAGTCTGTTTGCTACCAATGTCCTGTCTCATGTGGAGGACAAAGCTCTGGCTGAATCCTCCAAAAGTCCTTCAGTGCGGGGAAATAGAAGGGTGTAGTGTAGATTTGGGTTGCAGCCTTAGGCAGTCAGTCTGGGACCCTGTGGTACAAACTTACAAAATAAAAGCCATAGCAAGGAAAAGGACCCCTGCAGAACTGGTGCAGAAACAAAGCAATTCCCCGTTGCCCGAGTTTCCTAACTCTGTTCTGAAAAGCCTAGTTGCCCCTGTTGCTTCCCCCAGCACCCTTTCCCCTCACCTTGAATATTTCTAGAACTGTGTATTTTACCAGCCCTTTATTTCCTTCCCAGACCCAGCTACAAATTGTACTTTCCCTTCTTCTACAGCCACTTATTTTTTCACTAGACTGAAAAGATTTACTTACACTGTTTGCCCCAACTGCTCTGTAACCTAAAATAGAAAGTGGTATTTACTTTTTCTTCTCTGGTGCTGGGTGAGAGCCCCAGCTAAAATAGGAATTTTTAGCATATGGCCTCTACCTCTCTTAAGCACCTGCATCCTGCATCCCTGCAGCAAAGCACTGCACCTCCTGCGCTGCTGGGACAACTCACGTTAAATAACAGCTCCCTGAAAAGGTTTGTGCAACCAGCCTGGGGGACAGACCAGAAAAGTGCTGAGTGGTTGCCATCAATGTGCAGGTGAAAATGTTGCTTTAGAAGAGCAAAGCCGGTGTGTTGGCTGGAGGCTCAGAGCCCTGCTCAGTCAGCAAGGTCAGCTCAGTCTTTCATTAGTATTTACATGGACAAGGGGGACCTTGATTGGGACCTTCCCTTTTTAAGCATGAGAAGTTGATAATTGGGTTAAAACCTGGGATTTTAATCAAGCAAAACTT